TAGGAGTCTGAAGGTTTACTATTGCCATTTTTTAGCGAAAACGAGGCCCCAATAGTCATTTCCAAAAGAACAACACTGAACTCAGACGGAACCTCACCTGTGGGAAACCACATTCAGATGATATTGACGACAACAACACATTCTCCGGTTTTAAGTCGCAGTGAACAATATTTCTGCTGTGTAAATCTCTAAGCGCCACTAAAATCTGCAAAAAAAAAAAAAGATCACCGACGATGCACAATCGAGACAACATGACTCATTCACGTCCTGCTTCTGTGGTAATTCCATCGGAATGATGCCATTGGCCAATGGAATACCTTTTACCAAAAAATATACAATCTATCTAAGGAAGAAGTATTATTATTTCTCTAAAGCAGTAAAGTTGTCCATAGGAATTTTTTTAGGCATTTGTAAGATTTTCGTGCAACACATCGAGCGAGGCACAGAGCTACGTCGTAAGAATGTAGCTTCCAATGCAAATTACTCCACATGCCCTTTCTAAGAAAAAGGAAGCCAATTTCACCTGTGTTATGAGGAACTTTGTGCATCTCTCATCCAATCTTCCCTTGGCACTGGACAAAATAAGTTCCAACATGTCGCCTCGCATTTTTTCCATGACTACGAACACCTGAAAGACATGCTCAAACTTAAAAATATTGTAAACATTAACAGAAATGAGTCACACTTTAAGCGTCTATAAAAATTGTCTTTAACGTTTTTGGGGGGATTGTCATGCGCAATCCTTGAGAATCCTCTACATCCTCAAAGATCCTTTTGCCGGTACTTTTTTTAATCTTTGCTCTTTTCTTCCCAACTAAATTATAATTCTGTTTCAAGGAAATTTTCAACACGGAAACAAACACCGCCTCTTAAGCCGGACAAAGCTAATCCCATCGATTGTTTGAATCAAAAGCCTGCTTTGATGCGCCAAACGGCGCTAATTTGTAAAATAATGCTTATTTCCGTCACACTGAGATACATATCAGGTCCTACTTGACAAATTCATAGAGAGAAACCACAACGGCAACCAAAGAAAGTTATGGCCACCAGAGTCATAATTCTAGCAGTTTTAATTTGAGTGTCGAAAAAACTCCAGGATAGGTTTGGTTTTTCCTTCGCACTGTGATTGGTCGAAAAAACTCATGATGCACTCGCAACCAATCATATGCAAACTATCTCCAATCGCGACTTGGTCACCTGCGTTTTCCCGCGCTTTTGGGTCGTTTTCCTGCGCTTTGGGTCGTTTGCTTGTTTTTACTTTGAGTTCTGATTACCTGACGTTTCTTGATGTTGATTATATCCACTATTTTTAGCTATACTTACCCTTTCGGGGGTTTCAAACATCTCTTCTAAATTCACTACACCTGGGTGGTTGACATGCTAGGGACAATAAATTGAATCGAAAAGGAACTTCATTAATAAATATTTTTGATAAGCTAAATAACGACTTTTCTGGCCATACTCTCCAAAATTATATGGGGCGTGATCTTTTTAATACCAGCCCCTTCGAAATAATTGAAAAATAGACAACATTAAAAAGGACACGCACAAAAACGATTAAAAAAGGCAGCGTATTACACACCTGAAGAATTCCTACTTCATTCTTCAACTGCGCCTCTTGTTTAGTGGGAAAACGTTGTTTGTCAATGACTTTGATGGCTACATCTCGTCCACTTTCACGATGAACTCCTGTCGAGTTTTGCAAACAAAAAAAAAATAAATAAATAAATAACCATTGAAGCGTAGAGGCATGTTACGACTACGACCGACCCTGCCTAAAGTTCTGTCACGCATTCTGTCACGCATTCTGTCACGCATTCTGTCAGATGTGCGCATGAATCAAGAGTCACGTGTCCGACATTCTGCTTTCAATCAGAAATAATTTCACAAAGAAAGGGCGTTAACGTGAGATCGGCATTTCTCTCAAAATCAATTTTCTTGAGTCACTTACAACAACTACGACAAATAATTTGCCGAAGCTGTGACATTTGAAATCCGTTTTGAAATCCAACGTCTCGCTTTCTAAATAAAGATTTCCAAGGTTTGTGTAATTTATCGAGTTCTACCAAAATTGTTATTTTTTCATTACATAGGATTAAAGTAATGCGACATTCTTCTGAAAGGGAGCACCGTTTATTCGAAGACGGTTCTTGATCAAGAGGATAAGATACATGTCAGGGTTTCGACGTGGTAAAAAATCTTGCACATCATTTTCTACGAAATCAAATTTCGTCGAAATTTTCGACGAAATTCAAAGTGGCGACCGTGATCGGGAGTCTGAGTACCAAGTCTTCGCATGTACAAATAGGTGACTTAATATATCTGTTTTAGACGTAAATTGGTTTTAAAAATACGAAGAAGACAGCCTTTTGAGCGTATGAATCCCTCAGGGTCTTTGATACAAAAGAACTAAACTGCCCATTAAAACGCATACCTCCATAGACAATTCCGAACTGTCCTGAACCAAGTATTTCGTCAGGGAATACTTGGTAAAGCTGACTAATATCCTTCAAAAGAGAAACGAAAAACAGTTCTCATCTAATCATCTAATCTAGCATGGTAGCAATAAAAAATAAACTCGACGCTAAAATGTTCACCGACAGATCAGATAGGATTTATCAGGCATATGGTGCTAAAATCTGAGATTCTATAGAGGAAAATCTCAAATTGAGGAGCACCGATCAGATATACTCTTACTGCTCACACGCATTTTATACGTGCAGACGCAAGTCGTTAGACTCGTAAATACACTACACATGCGCGCAAAGAATCTTTCAAAGGAGTCTACTACTTGCAGTTACCGATTTATACACTGGTATACTTTAGATTTAAGTCAATGTGTGCGCAACCATTTGCATTTGTTCGTTTGCACGTTTGTGTGCTTGTGCCTCTTAAAAGTAGGTGCATTCCTCTTTCTTATCCTTTTGTTTGGATACTCTTTCTATCACATGACCCAGCCACTTGACTCGATTAGTATTCGCTATTTCTAAGTGACTATGCTCTACCTACTTGAAATGTTTTTATTGAAATGATCAATTTATCATCTTTTTTCCATATATTATGAATGCTTTCAACTATTTGCATAACTTGAGAGCAGAAATAAAAGATTGTTATTGCTCAATTGATGCCATACTTGAGGTAAGGTGTGCATGAACACGAAACATTTTACAAACCAGTGGAGCATCTTTTACTTTCTCCTCTTCATCAGTAACTTCCATCTCCACATCAGGACTACTGACTATTAATTAAAAACGAAAGTTTAGTGCTAAACAGGCCATTTTCCATATATTAAAATTCTAACACGGCTCCGAAGCTGGGGAGAATAAAACAAAATTATACAATTATTCATCCATTAACCTTGATGTAATTTCTTATGTTTTATTCCCCTAAGCCTCGGAGCCAAGTTTGAATTTTAACATATCGAAAATGGCCTATTCATAACATGTTACATAGCAGATCATTCTAATTACATCATACCCTTAGTGAGAGCGCAGTCACTTTGGGTGTCGTAAAACCAGAACCAAAGTAATCTTATCGGCCAATCAGAATGAAGGACAATAACACAAGGACCAATGAGGACTCATGTAAAAACAGGTAAACAGTCTAAAGCGCGGGAAAATGCATGTGAGCAAGTCGCGATTGGTTTTGATTTTGTATCTGACTGGTCGAGTCGTCAAGATGGAGGCGCGAATTTCCTTGACAAAATCAAATTGTATTGAAGATAAAGCTCTCACATGCAAGATAACTTTCGAAATTCAATTGAAAATTGCTATATCTTGTGAATGAATAACGACATCCAATGGGAAAAAAATCACCTTTCAAGGTTTCAAGCGACCCGTCCTCAAGTTAGGGAGCCATGCTACACTTAGTACTTCTTAAAAAAAATTGCGCATAAATTAAAGTTTTTCATTTGAAGTCCATTTCATTCTTGTCCATCCTTAGCAATTCTTGGTTATCAGTTGTTACCACTGTGCCCTTCTCAAAGTAACATTTAGAAATCAAGTTACAATTTACTTTGCAAAGCGAGTCAAATTGTTAAAGCTGCCATATCTCTGCACGTTGCTTAATGTTGTTGTTGTTGTTGTTTTTTTTTTTTTGTAAATTACAGCCAAATTTCTACACTTGTTTGAAAATTGAGCTACGAAGTGGAGTGACGTGGACTCACCATTGTTGCTTGCAGGGCAAACACTTGTTGTCGGTGTCACGCAACCTGGCATCAGAGCAGAGCGCGTGACACTGGCCCAGGCCTGTCCAGCCACCGCCCCAACACCACTGTCGGGGTCTGGTGTCTCGTTCTCCTCTTCAACTTGCCCCACATAGTACACCGTGTCTCTTGTCTTCATTTCAAAGCAGTGTGGAGCTCGAGTAGCATCTGTCGCCAGAGGGTCGATATTCGAATCAACAGACAGTATTTCAGACAGTTGAATGTCCTGTGAGAGATGGTACAAAAAATTTTAAAAAGCTAACATGTCGTGAACTTATTAACTACTTATTTTAGTAAATGTGGTCAATTACAAGGATTTTCAGCCCCGAAAAAAGCTGGAACTGCAAACGTGTTGTTATGTGTCTGATCTCGCCAGTCAGCGGCTAATAAGTCGCTCGCCTTTCGCGCCACTCTGTCAGGTTAATCAATGAATATATGAAATAAAACATGGTTGCTCGTAGATAGCGGACTCTCTCTTCTCGCTTTCAACTCGATATCTCACTCGTTCGCTCCGCTCATTCATGAGATATCGAGTTGAACACTCAAGAGAAATTTTATTAAAACAATTAAAACACTTATGTGGCCTTGAATTACTGTAGAATACTGTAAAATATTGTAAAATATTGTAAAATATTTTACAATATTTTACAATATTTTTGGCCTTGAATTACTGTAAAATATTCTACAATATTTCACAGTAATTCAAGGCCACATTAGTGTTTTTACTGTTTTACCCAAAATGTTACTGAAGGACAACAATCAAAGATTGATAGAAATTTTATTACGACGCACGCCCATTACAACGGGTGTCCCGAAAACACTGACCCCCAGTCCAGGGAACCCCTACGGACCTGGTCCACGGACTCCTGTACGGACCGGTCCACGGACCCTCCACGGACCCCCCTTTACGGACTACCCATGAAAGGATTGTCTTTTCATGGGGGGTCCATAAAGGGGGATCCGTAGAGGGTCCGTGGACCAGTCCGTACAGAGGTCCGTGGACCAGGTCCGTAGGGGGTCCATGGACTGGGGGTCAGTGTTTTCGGGACACCCCATTACAACTTGACCATGAACAAACCTTGTAATATCTGCTGCTTGTTGAATCTTGGAATAGTGTCAAACACTTTGTGTCTAATCTCCAATAATGTCTTTTCCTCTAAAAAAAAAACAAATTTAAAATTATAACTTTCTTTTGAAAAATCCATAAAAAAAGGATTTGATGTACGAAATTCATAAGACAAAGTCGTACTGATATACAGCAGTCCGCAAAATTTAAATGAACACACTATAGTTCTTAAAACACCCTGTTTGAAGATGAGCTTAAAACTAGGAGTAAGTCATTGTCCCAAGCTCAAACGTACATTTTTGATTCAGTTAAGCAACACAAATGCACATCATTTGGAACAAAGGTGCCTCACTACTGGGCCACATGTAGAGGCCTGCTGTGGCAAGTACTAAAGCAGAGCTAAAATTGATTCCTGAGAAGTGAACAGTTTTAAACCTCATGCTAAAAATATAGCTTAATAACTGGAAAAGGCTTGATACAGCACATTAAAAGAGAACAAAGCATATGCCATACCAATGTATCCTTGCTGGTAAAATGCACCATCCATCCCTGTTTCAACACTTTAGATCCTTTTCTCTTGGTATGCTTCACAGATACAACAATCCGCTGGAGTGGAATATTGTTGCTCATTGTTGGAGTCAGCTGGGGCAACTCATTGTCTGGTGATGAGGGACTAGTTGGTTCAAAGTCTTCTTGACTACTGCGACTTGCTGACTCAACCTCTGTTTCGTTCTCACTAAACTCTTGTTCATTTGGAATGTCATTTGAAAGGTCCATTTCTGACAAATTTTCAGAAATGGCACCCGAGTCAGAAGATCCAAGAGACCCTGCAGCATCAAAAGATTTCTGGTCATTTCTTTAGATGGATAATGATTGAAGTAAATTAGCCCTTTAACTCTAAGAAGTGATTGACACGTAACTTCTCCAGACAATACCCATACATTATCCAGCAAACAGGAAATAAGAATAATCAAACCTTTAAGGCCGAAGTTTTATCTTGATCTAACACCAAATTCTCATAACTATTTAACAAGGAAATTTATATCATAACCAAAGTAACGCGCGCACTCTGATTGGTCAATTCAGCGTCTACCATTTTCCATGGATGTACGCTGCTGATGAGAGAAAACGCAAAGACTAGTTTTCCACGCGTGCTTGTTTTTTCTGGTCACATAAGATTTGTTAAATAAAAGAACACTCTTTTGCTACAATGTCTGCATGTTATGCTATAAAACTAATGGTAAATGCCACATCAGGATTGCTGAGCGGGAATTTCTTGCCGAACAGATTCAGAGGGACCCAAACGACACCAATAATATCTGGAAAGCAATTCGCTATTGCATCCCTAATAAATCTGCATCCCTAATAAATCTACATCCCAGCGAATATTCAGTAAAAACGACAAAACTTCTGCAGATAAATTTAACCAGTTCTTCGTATCTGTTGGTCAGAGCACTGTTGACAAAATTGCATCCTTGGCTAATGACTGCAACCTAACACTCAATCATAATTATTTTACATCAAGACAATACCCCCTGTCTGACCAGTTCACAATGAGTGCCGTTGATTTCAAACAGATAGAGCGTACAATAACGACGATGCCTTCAAATAAGGCCCCAGGGATTGACAAAATCCCCATTCGCGTCATCAAAGACTGTCTAAATTCAACCGTTCACACAATTACGGCTATTACTAACACATCCATTCCAACATATGTTTTTCCATCAAAATGGAACAGCCGAGGTTATACCGATTCCAAAACACGGCGACCATGAACAGGCTAACAATAATCGGCCCATCTCACTTTTTCCAGTGTTGCCTAAAGTTTGCGAAAGAGCCGTACATGATCAACTCACTTCGCATCTGCAATCAAATAACACCCTATCAAAAACCCAAAGCGGTAACAAGAAATGGCATTCGTGTAAAACATCTGCCAACGAAACTACTGATACAATTCTTAACGCTATCGATAAAAAAAGGCTAACTGCTATTGTGTTCTTAGACATGAGTAAGGCCTTAGATAGTGTCAATCACGAGATTTTAATTTTAAAATTGCAAGACGTTGGAATCTCCTGTAACGCTCTCCGATGGTTCCGCAGCTACTTAAGCAACAGGGAACAAGTAGTACGAATCCACTCAACGTTGTCTGAGCCTTTGCCCGTGATCAGCGGTGTACCTCAAGGGAGTATTTTGGGCTTTATTATTCAGCATATACACGAACGATCTTGCCTCGATACCGCAGTCATGCTGCACACAGAGTTGCGTGGATGATACGGAACTTATTACTTCCCTTTAGCTAAAAGACAACTTGGATGCAATTACGGCTTTGAAAGATGACCTGCTCAAAATAGGAGAATGGTGTTCCAACAACCACTTGTTACTCAACCCTGGAAAAACCAAGTTAATGATATTTGGCAACAGGCAAATGCGTGCAAAATTGCAATTTCACTTCCTTCCCTTTATGGGAAGAGACATTTTCCTCTCAGAGACTGCTAAAGACTTGGGCGTAATTTTAGATTCCCATCTAACTTGCGATGAACACATAATTAAGACCGCGTCTTCATGCATGTCCCGCCTTGGCCAACTAAACCGCGTTGAGCATGCTTTAGATAAAAGTACACTCCTGTTGATTATTAACTCTTTAGTTTTTAGTAACTTATCTTATTGTTCTAATGTATGGGCAAATACGTCGAAATATAATATTAACAAACTGCGGGCTGTGCAAAACTTTGCCTGCCGCATTGTGAGCGGATCGCGTAAGTACGATCATCTTCCGCCCATTCGTAAAGAGCTTAACTGGCTATAGATGCTCTCTGGTTCTCACAACAACAGGTTTGAATTTGGTTCTATCTAAAACTTGTGATCAGAATAGCTTACATGTACGGCAGGTACAAAAAGCAGGTCCCAGGTCCCAGGTCACAATATTAACAGGTCACAATTAAAGAGTTATACACCGGATAGAGTAAAGGCGTTGCATTATAGTGTTCCATTTCCGGTCGTCAGAAATGAACATATAATATACAATTGTGACCAGTTAATTGTGACCTGTGACCTGTGACCTGCTTTTTGTACCTGCCGCTTACATGTATTTCCAATTTACCTGTTTCTAACATTCCTCCCTCACCCAAGCAGGTCTTGCCAACAAACTTCTCACACTTTCGGTGGCAGTTATATTTACAATCTGCAATTATTCAAAAGAAAAAAGATTGGCCATTAAATGACTTGTGGTGTGATTTTAAAAAACTGAGTCAGACATAGACTTCAAATTGCTAATTGTCAGTGCACAATTTTCAAATTCACAAACATCGAATACAAGATGCATTTTTTTCCCTTACCTTTACACTGTAACCCTTGACGAAATAGGCCCTTTAACTATTAAAAGACAATAAATTAATGCTGCATCTTGCACCAGTGGTAACTACCAACAACTTGACTGTCAATATATTTTTTTTTACAAGCAACCTTATCTCAGTAAGCAGTCCTTATTATCCCAAATTTCCTTAGTTTGAAGTTAAAATCTGTTGACATAGATGGGAATGAAGTACTTGGTACCAAAAAAAAAAACAAAACATTTGAAAACAGCTCACAACTGTTTTCAAACTGGAATTCTGTGTGTGTCACCGTGTTTTCTCTTAAACTGATTTTTTTAAAGGCATTATTGATGATGGTAACTGGTTTTTACAAAAAAAAATCGGGTATTCAAGTGAAAGTGTCATTACAAGAAACTTCTTAAAAAACATTTGAAAACAGCTCACAACTGTTTTCAAACTGGAATTCTGTGTGTCACCATGTTTTCTCTTAAACTGATTTTTTTAAAGGAATTATTGGTGATAGTAACTGGTTTTTACAAAAAAATTGGGTATTCGAGTAAAAGTGTCGTTACAAGAAACTTCTTAAAAAACATTTGAAAACAGCTCACAGCTGTTTTCAAACTGGAATTCTGTGTGTGTCACCATGTTTAATCATATGATATGTTACCATTACCACTACCATCAGCATGATCCTCCTGGGAATCACCCCCACAAAAGAGCTACTGTCTGATGATAGTAGAGGTGACCATATAATGTTATATGATATGAGCCACTGGGGCAGATCCAGGGATGGTTTGGTCGAACCCCCTAATTTTTCCCTCAGAACGCTGGAAATCATGTTTCCGAAGACCTAATTTTCAAAATCTTGGACTCCTCAGAAGGGGAACAATTCTCCAAACCCCCCTCCGAACCCCCCTTGACATAAACCTGGATCCACCCCAGAGCCATACCTGTCCCTTCTCATTTTCCAATTTTTCAAAGGAATTTTCAAAATACAAGTCAACACTTCAACATCTTTTAAACAAAAATTACCTCAACCACTGAAGGTTTTCTTCGAGTATTATTTTAAAAGTTAAAATACAACTTCTTCAGCCTGCTACATGTCAAATGCACCCAGCCTCTAAGAAGTGATAATTTCAAACACAATGCAGTCTTAAATGAACTCTACAATTAAACACAAAGCCATTCTTCCTACCAATTTTTTGCAGAAGTGGCACACTGTTGGCTTTTTATAGGAATGAACCACGAATGAATGAGGTATTTGTAGTTGGACTCTACCAGAGAGCATTCTGTCGATCCATATCGGACGACCACTCCAAGTTGCCCTTCTGTCTCGTGAAGAAGGGAGGCTCTCGTTAAAAGAATTGGAGTGTTGGATCACCAATGTTGACTCATTTGGGCCACCAATCTGAGAAGCTGGCCTCGGAAGAGTATTTGAATGTAGAGCAATGCTTAATCCAGAAACACTGTTGCGATGTCTTGAATCTGAACAATTATTTGGTATCTTGAATGCACATTTCTTGTGATAATTGCCACCACATCCTGTGAAAGAAACCATAACAGTCCACTTTCTTCTTCAAAGTCTCGCATTTTATTAGATTTTCTTTTGTTTACTAACATGACAGAAAAAAGAGGCACTCCCAGGGCTGAGGTCTAGCAGTGCCAGTAGCCCCTGGTGCCCTACTTTTGCGCTTATAGGCAACTCAGGAATCTTAGTTTTTTCATAAAAAGCATATGCTGGGCACCCTGGACTTCACAGTTACAGAGCACTAGGCTCCCTTCAATTTTTCTTAGAGCACAGCCTTGACTCCCAGCTGCCACTGTTATGGTTTGCCATGGTGCGTAGAAAAAGATTTAAAGACTTAATTTGTAGCTTAAGATGTCAATATGGCACATGATCATGAAACAAATGGTAACCTTTTTGTTTCTACGTGATATGGTTTAAGTTAGAGTGAAACAAACATTCTCTTAGAAAAATCACTTAGTAATGCACAAAATGTTTTCATTTAGGGATGTGGGGGGGAGGGAGGCAAGACAACATCCTAAATCTCACTGGTGACCCTTTTCATCCCCGACAAGGGACTAAAGTTTGTTTGAGATCAGGAAGCCTTTCACTTATAATTACACTGTCAAGCCTATAGGCACTGAGGTAAAGAACTGAATATATAACATATTAAAGCGATGTTATCTTAACAAACATCCTGATTATTGTCAGCATTGAACAAAGAAATGTATACACTTCTCCTGTGAGAATAAGTTTCCAGACCTTGGGGATCTAAATGAAAGAGTTACAAATTAATAATAATAATCACAGATTGTACCTTCGCATTTGATTCCTTGTCTTACAAGGCCGAAAAGCATCTCACCACAAAAGTCACAAAACGTTGGAGATCTGTATGAATGAACAATCAGCATGTGAGGACGAATAATAGTCTCATCCGCTGGGACTTTTGCTGAAAAAAAAAAAAAAAATCAACAAATTATTCAAAACAATTAAGAAAAAATTAATGGAATAATAATCATCATGACGTTATTTTTCATTAATGACATTCATTCCATTTCATTTCAAAGTTCAGAGATTTTAATTAAAATATAATACCAGCAATTGAAACATCAGAGGTTCTGGCTAATGCACTGTTACACACTAAATCCTTAAAACTGCCTCCCTCCCAAACCTCTTCTTTGCTCTAAGTTTGTCCCCTTAAAACTAAAACCAGTCACTGTGACAAATGCAGAAAAGTAAAACAGAGAAATGTTTATTAACTTCTCAACTTTATTAACTTCATTCCAATTTCTACCTGGTTATGGTCTGATTTAAACAATACTGTGCATGACTGGAATACATATATCTTATTAACCAAGTGTGAGGGCCGTACTGGGAGAATATCGGCCCAAGGTCTTGACAGTACAGACCGAGCGCAGCGAGGTCCGTACAAAAAAGACCAAGGGCCGATATTCTTCCAGTACGGTCCTGAGCAAGCTTGGTTAATAAGAGATTTATTATACAACTGAAGTTCAAAGGGACACAAGTGCAGTATCATTCGGGACCATTCCGGACAGTGCCCGGTCCAATACTGAGAGAATATTGACCAGCAATAGAGCATTTTGATTGGTTGATTTTAGTTATTGGTCCTCTGACTGCCCGAGTCGTGTAATAAATACCGGTAATATACAATAATTTTCTAAGGAGTTGACATCTCCAGTTTGGATCACACCCACCCACCCACCTACCCATCCCCCCTTTCTACCATATGGACTTCCTGTCTGAGAAATAACATATATTTCACATACATGTCATTATAATGGAATATTCTCTCTTCGTAGCAAACTCAGCTTCTTCAGCTGTGACATACCTGAAACAACAACTTCAATAACAGAGCCTTCGCGTAACTGCTCCACACTAGTTAACTTCTCCAATATGTTTGTTGCAGAATAGTTGTGAATGAACAAGATAACTTTGTCTGCTATGCCAATGCAAGAGTGATCTGGGAACTGATTAAAAGAAAAGATAAAGAAAAAGAAAACTTAACAAATTTAAAACATTTAAACGCAATGCACCATGTGTGTTGTACACAATCAAGATATATTGTTAGTTAAAATTTAAAAATTCCTGAGCTGTGTTTGTTCAACTAATGAAGCCTCAGTTTGTTTTGTAGCAGGAGGGAACTGAAAGAATTCCTTCTCCCTGCTAATGGATGTTGATCTAGTAAGGGGGACCCTATAACCACAGCATTATATCAGTTTTCCCTGACAGTTTCTACCAGTATTTACCCTCCTGCACCTGGTGGAGACAGGAGAAAAGCATATGTTCCTCCCACGATTGAAACACAAAATAATCACTGCTCTATAAGGCATTATGGTACATTTTGCAGGCTTAAATGACTTGCAAGCTTGCCTAATTTTCAGACTGTTTTCTTGCCACTTTAAGTTCTAATTTTCTCAGTGCCCTCCACAGTGATAAATAATATAGTAATACGAGACATATATTATGTATCAAGTGAGAAGATGTAGTAAAACTCCCCAAAATATAATGTAGCAGTTAGTAGTCAGCTAGTTGCACCCATCACTAGTAAGACAACTTTCATCAAATCTTATTGAGTGATTCCCTACAGAAATGGGCAGACAGGAAGATGTCTAGATGTGAACTTTTTGCATGTTCATTTCTTAAGTAAATGTGCATTCTGTTTTTTTGTATCCTTGTTCAGGCATCTGAGCCCCCCTTCTCATAAGAATTCTTCCTTTAGCGCAAAAAAAAAATAGATTCACTGAATTAAACAAAGAGTTGCTATGAAAATAGAGAGGAAGTATAATGTTCTTGATTCTCTGACACAGGTAACCTATACTCAAGATGGAAACAAAAAAAAACTTACCAAAATAACTCATTTCACATCAGAACAATTGGATTTTCGAATTATTTTTCACAATCATTCCATTCAAAAATTCTTCCATTTCAACTGATGACAGATGCCCATTTGAAACATGGGCTGACTGTGGTCAAGCCAAAGGGTCCAGAGAGCTCTTTTCACCAAGGTCATAACCAAGTTAAAAAAGAACTTAAATTGTTTACGCTAGAGATATCAAATTTCACATCCTCAACATCATCCACTATGTTTGTAATAAAATGTGATGCAAGTAGAATGTAAATTGGAAAGTGAACATTACTTATTTCTTCTTCTACTAATAAATTTTTATTCAAATAGGCTCAATTTAAACAGCTGGTACTCATTCAGAAGATCACTTTTACTGAATAAATTGACATACAGCATCAAAGGGAAAATTTCCTTTCAAGAACATGCAAATACGAAATTTTTTGTCACACCTGTAGTAATAAAAGCATTGTCTAGCATTAATAACTTTGTCTTTAACACTCAGACTGCGAAAGTTTTTTTATTCCTTCCCTAACTTAACAAAAAGATACAATCAAAGGGGAAAAAACAGACTAAATTGGCTAATTTTTTGAGCTCTGATGAACATTCTGGTTAAAATTTAGAGCGATACAAACTTAAGCAAAGCTAGTTGAAATGACATGCACATGCAAGGTTCGTGATCGAGCCGAGTTTTTGATCCTGGTTAAACGTTTGTTTGTAAATGTGACATTCGCAGGTGCACGCGACAAAACGCCTCCTGAATTAGCAATATGGACGTTATTTGAACATCTACGACGACAAATGAACTTATCTAATGAATGTTCCACTGAGAAGAACCCACGATTAAAAGAGAAAAGTTAAAGAAAAAAAAACAGGAAGTTCTTGGCGCTGGTGTGGCGCACCGATACTCAGTATAAATCGACATTGCCTATTTCGTGTCTCTTTGATCGCTTCATTGTACTAATCTGCCAATTTCCCAAGAAGAGGAATATGGTTGATGCAAAATGGTCTATAAAGCTGGACATTAACCAGGGAAATGTGAAAATCGTGCAAAAGTGCGATTTAGAGCCTGGTTGTACTTGAACAATATGAACGCCCGTCCACAAACTTTGAAAACTTTAACTAATAAGCACATTGCCTCTTTCAGATAAGATCACTTTGGACCGTTCTAAATTGACGGAAACTCTGAGCCAAGAGACCCTCGTTTATTATTCATTCACTGATTTCTATTTTGCGGAAAAAGCTTCGAAAGATATAATCTCGTACGCTAGAATGGTTGCAGTGTCTTGGATGAATGACTTATGCCGCGTGACAGCAAATAGTTGATGGTTTTTCACGTTGTTTTCGCTATCGACTGTCGCTCAAGAACGAGGGGCGGTCAAAACAAGTTGAGATATACAACCACTAAACTTGCAGTAATCGGCCATGCGGTCTATATCGTGGTGAATATTTAAACAAAACACGGTTTAAATAAAAGGGTCCTCTAAAAGACACGGACACAAACTGTCATTTTACATCCTGTGAGCTCGCAACCGTTAAATAAACTATAGAAACAAAAAAAAAATTATTTAGCATCAAAGTCACCATCTATTTTCTGTAGTTGTCGGCGAACCCGGTGACAAAAAAACAATCAGTGATACTAAAAAGTGACTTTACGAGCCAAGATGAAGATTTGTTCCTTGTACGATCGGCAGAAAATATAAGCCTTAAGAATTAAAGATCCGAATACTCGAATCTTGTTCTTTCGCTCGAAGTAAAAGTCACAGCGACGTCAAATAAACAGTGGTTGGATGCCGTCTTTCTCACATCTGAACCATAAAAGAGAGTAACTGCGGTTAAACCAGATATGCTGGCGTTTAAATAAGCTTAATTATACCTTTTGATCGAGGAACGAATGTGCCAGTTCCCTTAGCGCCGACAGATCCTTTCCTTCAAATCCATATGTTTCCCTTGCCAAGCCGCATTGGAAGGAAATTCCTCTCCGAGGGTAGTCAGGCTCAGTCATGGCAGTAGACACAAATCATCCAAGAATTTTCTCTAAACATCAATCAAACACAACCCAAAAGGCGATAAATTTCGCTGACCAAAGAGTTATTACTCGCTACTGTCTCTACTAGAAATATTTCCCTAACAATATGGGCGACAACATTGTCACGTGACAGCTACATATTGCCCGGCAGGAAAAAAAAAAGAGAGAAAAAACGTATTTCCGGTGATTTTAACTTCCGGTAATGTTCGAAGGGTAAAATTGTATAATTACCAACACAAAAGCAAATAAGTAAAGAAACGGAAATAAATGGTTGAACTGATAAATGTACGTAATAGTACCAAATATAGAAAGCGAATGAAGGATTGAAAGCTCGCCAACCAGTAGTGTTTACTGTTTACAGCAACATTAGAAAAGAAAGTATGATTTTTCAATCTTCTACTACTCAGTACAGACTACACTATATCAATCGGCTTGCAACGTTTACAAAGTGCACGCAATTTCGTGGGTAAAGAAATTCGACAGCTAAAGAATTCTCCTCTAAAATAATTTTTCTAAAAGCCCCTCTTTTCATTTCTTGCTTGTTCAATGAACCCTTCTGCGATCTCCGTAACGAATTTGGTTAGGTTGACACTAATGACGTAAGTCCCGCTTCTCGATGACGTCAGAGCAAATGTAATAATAGTAAATTGGCGTCACTGAAGTGCACTTTACTCGTACAAAAATAGTGGTTTATGAGCCGAGACACCATGCAGACCATCCAGTCCTATAAACAGCTCTTAATATGTAAGGGCTGCGACTCCATACATCTAAAATGGTTTACTCTCGTTTCGGTATGAAAAGCCTGCAATGGACAGTCGCAAATTTCAGTGATGCTAATGTGTTTGCGAAGTATTGAAGGTTTGTTGTGGAATAACCAAATTATCTTACATTGGCGAAGCCTAAATAATTTACGGCTAAGGAATTCGAAACTGTTCTGATAACTTCCAACCGCGACGGAAAAAAATCTGAGGGGTATTCCCTTACCTGAAAATAGAACTCTTGTTTAAATCAATTTAGCGCCGGTATTAAAGCATTGTTGGCCCAGAATTTCACGAATAATAGTAAATCGGCTTCACTAACTGAAGAAAATTTAAATAGCTGAGGAAGAAGTCGGAAATTGAAGGAGTAATTTTCAGCAAAGAACTCGAGATGTCTTTAAATTCAATGGAATAATAACAGATTGAACGCGGCAATGGTTTGTCTTAGGAACAGTCGATAGGACGAAGTTTCTTCACCGAACAACAGGTTTAGATGTTTTCTTTTGCAAGCAAATGTCTTTGCGTCTTCACTGAAATAGGTTATTATCCACGCTAATCTAGGTAAATTTGAAATTGCAACTTCATATCGGCCGTTTACTCTTCAATGGCCTTGTGAGGATTTCTCGTAGGTTTAGCTGCCAATAAGCCAGGCTGACTGACCTCCCAGCCTTGGGGAAACTATAAGTAAACGGCAAAGAATGACAGATATCGATGGCCGTTTCCAGAGACTTAAATGCAATGCATTAACGCTCTAGATCGATATGTAACATGTTCTCGGGGACCGAACAAAAACTTGCGTAGGACACTGCAATAATAACATTCAACTCATTGACGAAAATTCATGTGGGGCTTATTAAATTTAAGCTTGATTCTTGCGGATATTCGCTCACGAGTTTTCCGAAGCCACTATAGGGGGATGCGAAAATACGGGGTTTATTTTGAGAATCCAATCTGAAGATGATATGCCGTAATTCGAGACTCAAAACTGCGGAAATCATAATCTGTTTGATGGCAAATACCCCTCAAGACCAAAAAAAGGGAAGTAATGTCCCCACAATTCCCCCCCCCCCCCTATCTCGGACTGCAATATAGGCTACGATTTACTTTCCCATTGGACAAAGTCAAGTTGACCTGTCGCTTCTTTTCCAATCGATATACTCCGGCGAAAAAGGTCGCAATGTTCGACTTCTTTTATTACTGCATACAAGGTAAGTTACAAGGTTTTCACAACACGAGGTCTCATTCTACGAATGACGTTCCTCGAGCCGCGATCGTTTTGGCCAGCGCAATAGTTTTGTAATCACTCCTTCCACGTTGAGTTGTTTTGCGCGCGTTCAAGTAAAGTGAGATCGCTGGCCACAAGAATTACAGCTCTAGTGATACAACTGGGTATATCTGAAAAGCACGCAAAGATCATGTCCCTCTCTAATCCTACACGTTTGGCTGATTGAACCTTTATACAGCGAGTGTAATTTCAGTCTCGTACAGATATCACAATAGTTATTTCAAATGACATCAATTAAACAAAACAAAACCTAAAAAAAATCGATAGCACTCTGATCAACTTCATTTAGGTTATTTTCAAAGAGGCCAATAAGTAACTTTGCTGAGTGATAAGTCCAATATCAACTGCGAAGATGATCAGATACAAAATTTGCATAATTACAACAAAGAACGACAAAGAACAACAAAGGCTACCCTCTGAGAAGCACAGATAAATATTTAGGTTAAATATCATTACTTTAGTTCAGTCTTAATGGCCCCCCCCCCAATCAGCCCACTACCCCAATGTGTAGAGCTAAACTGCTTATTTCATTTTTAAACAAGGTAAAACTGCTAACATTCAACAAACTTGTGATCTTAGGACTCTGTTTCAAACTACAGCTTTCACAAATTTCAATATCAACACATTTCTCAAAAACAAGAACAATCTTTCAGAGAACAAAATACAAAATGAAAACACCCATTTAACCTTAGAAAAAGGTTTTCACACTTTCTTTCACTCAACCAACCCAAATGAACCCATTAATACATGTATTTTCATCAGACATACTAGACTGATCCATATGAACCATTTTGCAGTCTAGAAAATCTTGAAATAACATCAATTTTCAAAAACAGCTTCTGTAAAATGCTTTCTACTTCATTACTGCAATCATTTCAATTGAGTGTCACTCACAGACAAAGAATTCTGATTACATGTGGGGGGAAATGGCCATGCTTTTAATGAATCACCTCATGCAGCTTAAACCACAGCAGTTGAGACAGTGAAGCTCTCAAAGACGATTTCACATCAACACTGTCTTCGACTTCAGGATCTCTTAAGTGAAGCCATTTCGGTATAAAGAAAACCAAGGACTGCTACCAATGCCGTAGTAAAGGGTGTCAAACAAAATTCCAACAGATTTCAACTTTCTCCGACACTCATGTAAAATCCACACACAATATAAGGGGAAAGGCAGGCAATTGGAGAATTACAATGGAAAATCAGATCTGATTTTGGAATTATTTGAATTCCATGACTGGAGTTTTGCTGTTTATGAAGCTTTCTGCTTTTGCAGTTTAGCAGGCAGCTTAGACTTGGCCCTGAAAGATAAAAAAAATGTGAAACTTATGGTAAAAAAAAAGTCAAGTGTTCATCCACAGTACCAGTATTTCTTCATGTCCTTCGGAAAAATATTGTGTGAATGACCATAAGCATTGCTACTATATACCTTCCAGGTGAATAGTGCTTTATGTGTGTGCTGATTTGCAAGTTCAGGAGTAATTAGCAAGAGTTTGACTTTTGACCAATTTCAGGTATAACAATTCACAGAAAAAACTACTTTTTTGTTTCTGTGGGCTATATATTCAAACAGTAAATTGTTTTTTTATATATTCAAACAATTATCATGTTCAGTGGTGGACATCTAACTCACTGCTTCATGGCTGGTTAAATATCCACCAATATTCACCTCTGCTTCAGCCAATTACTGCTAAATGAAAATGACAACAACTTACTTTTCAATAATAGCTCCAACTTGGGTACGAGCCAATCTGACATACTCATCGACCTTCTCCTGAAAATAAAAAAGAAAGAAGTGGTGTTAATAATGAATTCCCTATTTCCACAAAAAAAAAAAACAAAGTTAACTTGCTAGAGTGAAATAAATTTCTCATCACTGTCCATTATTTACCAACCTGATGATCTTCATACAAGCGAGGTACAGAGAAAACAACACTGACACCTGTGTAGGAAATCATAAAGAAATAATGATATAACAGAGCGCTGGACTGTGGTGTGGGAGGTCGAGGGTTCGAGCCCTGGCCGGACCAACACTCAAGGTCTTAAAATAATTGAGAAGAATTTGCTACCTTTCTATAACATCAAGAAATGGTTAGATATTCTAGTCTTCTCGGATAGGGACAAATAAATGGAGGTCCCGTCTCCTGAAGGGTTAGGGCAGGAGACGTTAATTTCCCACACACGAGATTACTGTGTGATGGATGTCCTCCCCTGGGATGGGATGGGTGGGTTAGGACAGCAGGTCCACATCAGCTATTACAGCTGCCAAATTAATCAACCTGCTTAAACAAATAAATGAACTTCACACTTCAACTGGGTGATAAAACAACTGCACCATAACTGTGACTACCTCACTCACTCACCAACTGTCTTACTCACTGACTTGCTGACTGACTCACTGACTGGCTAGCTAACTCACCCACTGACTCACTAGCTCACTCAGTCAATCTCTAACTGACTGGCTCACTAACTGATTCATTCAATCACAGACTGACTCACTGACCCACTCACTAATTTGCCGACTGACTGACTGATAGGCTGACTCTTCCTGAACACCTTGATGCCTGGAAATCAGCTTTTTACTCACCAACAATAATGAGAGTTAAGGCACTGAACCAAGCTCCTACATAGGATAAAACCCACAACAAAAGTCCAAACTGCAAAAATAAAAAAAACAACAACCATAGGCCATGAAGTGAAGAAGCTGACTAAACCACTTTCTGTTATACTAACACTTTAGTTCAGAAGCCATTTTAAAAAAAGACACAATAAGTTTCAATGCATTCAAAAATCAATCTGGGTCACTTGGGTATCCATGCAGAAACATTTGCTTAGATTATTGTAACAATGATCTGGGCTCTGTTCATCTCACATTAAATTCTTCGATTCACAATCCTGGTTGAGAGCTCCTAAAAGAGGAATAAAGATATTATAAGAACACTTGACATTCGAGTATACCTTGATGGAGTCAACAATATCCTCCACTAAGAAGAGTCGCCTCAGTTCCTTGGAATAACAGTTGAGGTGATCGATACCGGCCTCTACAAACTCCACAGCCTATAATGAGTAACACAAGAACACATGACGGTAACTGTAGGTCGCATTGGGGGGATTATGTGTTTCATGTAAAACAAAAAAGGTTAGCACAAACTAGCCCGCCCTGTAACACCTACATTTGTCTCAGCTGATATCTAGCAATCTTGACTTGACACTTGGTCAATGACACACAGTGGGCAGAGTAGAGATTTTTGGGGTTAGTGCCAAGGTTCAATTTATCTCAATGCAAACACTTTCTTGAAGAGTCCAACCAGGGCCACTAAAGGCAGAAACATTCAGAAACCCTGTGCAGACAGTTTAACTACAGGAAACACCATGCAAAAGACCAAGATTTCATTTTACCTTTTCCTTAGGGATATCCATGTCTCCCTCAAGAGCAGTTCTGTGAAAGATCAAAGAGAAGAAGTCACATAAAATGAATCAACTTATAGTGCAACTACCATTTTAGACACAGGTACATAGTTGTGTTAGGCATGTTCATATAGGTTTATTCTAACACTGTTACATTTTAAAATTGATAAAAAGATATATTATTCCTCCTTGTTCATAAATTCCTTATTAAAGGAGCTAACATAGCCAAGTGGTTGGAGCACAGGGCTTCTAATGGATTCATTGAAAGTTGTGCTGATTTCAACTCCATTGCTGCACTTTGTAAAAAGCAAACTAGTCTGCCTCCAGGCTGCCAGATGAGGCTTTCAAACACTACACTCATTCACAATGTTTCCATTTGTTCGTTTTCACCCTGCAAAGCCCCACTGAGAAAGTGGTCAATCGAGTAAATATACCTACCTTGTGGAAAAAAACTAGTAATTAAGAATTATGTTTGCCTGCAACAGCTCTGCTATCATGGATTGGTAATCAAAAGCTATACAGCACTTTAAACAACTTACTTGAAGGGATTCTCAGTTCCACTTTTCTGGATAGCACCCATAACTGTCATACCAACCCTATACAGCAGGGACACTGTTAAAAGCGCCATGGAGAAGAAGGTCACAACACTGAGGAATGTATACACGGTCAGAGAGAATAAAAAAACCAAAATAATGGCAACCATTATTCCTGTTTTCTTCAGACAACGCCAGTAGATCAGGTCAATAACTAAAAATAAAGAGTAGAAATTGCATGACATCTCCTTGAACAGTCCAGATCTTTGTATATAAACTATTCAAAATTTTATGGGCAAAGGTATTGTCTTCAGTAATCCACAAAGCTTTTCTGGAATGATGAGAAAGAATGGTGAAATCTGCATCTCTGCTACATTACAGCCAGTTGAGAGCCTACATATCTCAAACCATTTCTGAAGATTTTTAGTAGTTCTGAAAGATGAAAATGAAACTGTCCATCAAATTGGTGTCTTTATTCCTATTTTCACTGAACTCAATATTCTAGTCTCAAAAGACCTCAGACAATCTTTTGCTTTACTTAGTTGTAACATTCAGGATTTATTGAAAGCATATCAGGAGTTTGCCTGTTTAAATAATCTTTTAAAAACAAAATAAACTTAGAAAGGACCAAGTCTTGTTTGAAGGTGACTATTCTGCGATAAAAATCAAATTTTAATTGTAAATTTCCTTGAAAGCTTCTACAGTTAAACAAAAACTCGGGTTTAAGGTCATGTTTTCTATCAAAATATTTCAAACTTTGTCTGTTACCAAAAATAACACCACAACATAACTTACTCAAATAATAATAGAAGTATAATGCTTAAAAAAAAATTCTTTGGAGTGCTAGGGTGCAGTAAAGAAAGATAAAAAAGTACAGTAGCTTTGTCCTCGATTCATAACAAAGTTTTGCTCTCAGAGAAAAAAAGAAGTAATAATTCTTTAAAACCAGAACCACCATAATACAAATTAAAAAAAAAAAAATCAAAATGCAAATTCACTCCAAAATAAGCCTTATGTTTGACTTTTCATTTAATCTTGCCCAAGCATATTAGGTGTGGAATTATTTCATTGAACAGATCTAAATTCTAATCCTCGAAGAATGCCAGATAAACTGTACAATAAAAAAAGGAACAGTTCATATAAGCAGCTTTTTTAAGCATTAGATACACAGAGGTGGTGTTTTATTACATAAAACTCAAACAATTCCTCTGCAAGAGTAGGATCAAAAATCTTAATCTACACAGACAACAGGATTGAAAGAAATATTGTAAATACACCAGCAGGTGTAATATGGAAAAGATAACTCTAAAAAGTTTTGACCTTATCATACTTTCATGGACAAATCAGAAAACTATGGTACAAAAAAGGAAAAAATGTGATTCATTAAACGACCAGAAATGAAGTGAAAACTAAAGACCCCACCCCAAAAATTTAGTCAAAAACCAAAATATAGGGTGGTTACTTATAAATAATTCAGTTTGACATAATCATAGGAAATAATTATTCCAGTCAACTGGATAGAACTTTTATGAATATCTGGGGCAAAATCATAATAAGAATAGATTTGAATAGAAAATGAATGATTCACTTTCTCCTGTAAACAAAATGGCATGGTCATTTGTACAGAGAGGGTTGAATACACGCTTCAAGGCTAATTTTGCAGGGACGGAAAATCGTGTAACCATAATGATGCTATTTACTTTCAATCCCTCCTTATTCAGGGCTTTGGTTGCGATTTAATAAACGAATGAAGTGTTCAATAAAGCAATGAACAGGGTGCGACCACCGTTTCATTTGTTTTCATTTTAAAGACAGCGCCCAGGCGTACAGCAGATAACACCGTAATACAGTTTCAAGTCCATGCAATTGAATTCGCAGTAAATAAAAATATTGCTTTTCTGTCAACATTTACTTTTTTTTACTGGGCATTAATTTCAACGACGATGAAAAATCGACTTCAATGGCCAGCATAGATAATCTTGTACACGTTCTGTCGTATAGAGTGCCTCGCTAATGCCTCGGCAGGTTATCTAAGCAACAACGAACCTTTACTTAAATATTCTTGATTCTTAAGAGCTATATACCTCGTTGATCCACGCCGTTTTCTTTCATCCATCTTGCCGGCCAACTTGTTAGCTCTACAATATAACGAAGATCACAATTTTTTTTACCTAAGTATTAGCTCACAGCCTAATGAAGCAAAACTTCTTTACTGTCTGTTTGCCGGCAAATCAATCTTAGAATAAAATCCAAATCTTTTCTTCTTCCTCGAGCTACATTTGCAAGGTGTAAACGAAAACCACATGCGATTAGCTCCGCTTCTACAAATCGTCCGTGAAATCAAGTACAAAAAGTTTACGCTCTTTAGCACAGTACATAAATATATGATATAAATCCATGTACAACCATCTATGACCACAACGGCGAAGCTCACCCTTCGTGGTTGGTTCTTCGGGTTTTTCTTCAGATTCTACTTTAGCTGATACTAAATCTTCGACAGCTGGCGTTTCCTCTTTTTCATCGGGCACGTTTTCACCTTCTTGCGAAGATTCGTCTTTTGCGGAGTCAACAAAAGATGGTGTAGTCGAAGAGACATCGTCTTGACCCTCCACGTCTGGTGACAAATCTAGCAAGTCTCCTGTGTCTTGTGCGGTAGGATCCGACATCATAAAACTCAATATCCACAAATCTTTAAGCTTTAACTCCTAAATGACACTCTTAAACTATAAGTAAAAGACTAGAAAGTTGGATCTTACGCAAGCACGAGATTTAGAAATGATGGTGGTGAATGTTTTCAAAAATCACACTGGCGCAATTTTTCACGGTATCTCCAATTTTGGAGAGCGGATGTGACTAAACCAATCAGAGTAGTCGTTATAATTCTTTTTCTATGGCCCTCCAAATAAGGAGGTCTCAAAGTTCAAAGTGTATCAGGAGGGAACGTTGTGGAGTACTCTTCCAAAATTTTTCTTTTCTTTTCTTTTCTTTTTTTTTTTTTTTAAAATCAGAAAATATGCAAAGTAATAGAGTTTATGAATTCAGATGAGAAACTCGCTTCGGGGACCACAAACTAATGAACGAAATGATCCTCTCATAAACAGTAATACAAGAAGTTGCGAAAAAAAGAAAACTGAAACAATTCAGCCTTCACTCACGAAGGAATTCTGTTTCTCCCAGACACCGCATGGTTGCTACTACCTACTCAGTTTCGGAGCCATATGTCACGAATGTGAAAAATTTAGGCCAGTTCTTTTATTTTTGTTAATAATGAACACACTAAGTTTTAGTTGGACTTGCGGGTGGAAAAACAAATCATCATGATCATGATCTTCCTAGATGAACTGAAATAAAGGGAAAAGAAGCCAATAAATTTACGGTTTCGACCGGGTTTAAACCATGCCTTCCAAGCACTAGTTGGGTGACTGTCAACTGGCGGCTTCTAGCTCCGAAACCAAAGGCATTTAGGGGCGCGCTCATGAAGGGAAAAAAAACGCATTTCGTCCAAAGTAAAGGGTGGTTTGTGGGGGTTCTTCCTTATTTGGAACGTCGAAAACTCTTACGAAACTTCAACTGCTATCAAGTGTTTTAAATAATCAAAATTGTTCTAGGTTGAAAGTTTTACAACAGATCGGGGAACCTATATGGAGTCTACATGATATAAAATAAGTTTTTCTATTGGAACTAACTGACAAGAAAAGATTTCTTTCTAACTTTTTATTGTTTGGGATAGGTAAAGTTTAAACGACGTTGATAACCTCAAGAGCTACATCACAAAAATTAGTTTAGATACAAAAAATTGGTAAAGAATTAGCTTGCGTGGCCGGTGCACAAAGTAAAGAGGGCGAGAAAATTGATGTAAGGGCGAAGCGCGATCGTCAGGATTTCCCACCAAGATCCATGCATATATCCTAAGTTTGCCCTATGCGCTTGCATAAATGCCGCATTCCCCAACCCCCAACCCCGTCGTGATTAAGCCACGCAGGTTAGTAAATAACAAACAAAGTTATTTCGTGATCGCAGTTTACAAATAAAAAATTGACTAAAAAAATCCAGGTTTGGTGCGTATAAACGCTCTTTTTGAAATGAAAAAAATAAAACTTCGTCTTCTTAAAGACCTCAATGTGTTTTTTTGTGGGTAATTCTATCCTGAGTTTGCCTTATTCCATGTAGGAATCACCCGCTACTGTTATGTTCCTAATACTTATCACTGACCCTGCTCAGCAGAACTATAGACCACTTTCATAAATGGCTGCAGGATTAATATTCTTTTGTTTAAACTCAAATTAGCCCTTCTGGCCTCGCTTGAATTTTAAATTTTGAATTTTGTACTGGAGAGCGAGGCCAGAAGGGCTAATTTAAATTTAAACAATAGAATATTAATCCGGCAGCCATTTATGAAAGTGGTCTCACGCTTCTTGGACATACTCAGTTACTCTTTCTAATCTCTACTCTAGTTTATACTTATTCATTTTACTGTGCTGTGCTTTATTCTATACCTCTATCATATCTTCTCTTCTATTCCCTCCTCAATGCTTCTCTTTCAGCCTTTTCCAGCCTCTCAATCAGCGAAGATGAGCGAAACGACGAAAATGCGAAAAATGGCGCGCACGCATACTTGCAAGCGAGCAGGCGTATTCCGCAGACGTTTATCAGGTAACCACAACTGCTGCGTGCCTGCTTGCCATAACACAGCTATCCAACGTCTGCGCATGTGCAAACGTCATAATTACAAGGTGGAGTACTTTCAGGCCATCAGAAACGAGTTACATACAACCTCGCAAGCAGGAAAGTCAAAGTGTTTTACAACCGTCTTTGTTTTTGGTAGAGTTCAAAACAGAATGGTGAATCAACAGGATACCCGTACTTGAATAAGCTTTGAGTTTGAAATTTTTCGAGTTTTCTTTTTTCTTACTTTTATTGAATGTACCAGATAACGATGAACGTTTTAATTTTCTTTCGCTTATTTTGCAAGACAGCGGCTGTTTCTAATGTTTTCCTTAAAATTTTGCGCGGGAAATTGGCGCGCGGCCTACCAGAATTGATCCCCTTGCGCATGCTCGACGTTTGACCGCTGTGTTACTTGCTTCTCGGCTTTTCCGCAGCCGCCGTTTCACGCGTCTCCACTTACTAAGAGCATAGGGTAGGCTTCTTCTCTCCACTCACTGTCTTCAATCAGCCAAAAGTAACTGCCATACTGGCATGATTAACATCAGCCACCAACACATTAACTTCCCAGCCACTGCAGATATACGACGTTTATAGCAAGGAGCTGGACAATCTCCCAAAGACAATGGTTTTTCTTCTTCCTCGTCATCAGAAGACTTACCTAATAAAAGATACTCTCTTGTAAATTTTGGATAGCAAAAGTTCTGGTGAACAGACTACTCAGTGTTTGAGGGGAGAGACAGGGTATGGGGAGCGAGGGAGTTGAAAGTGAAAAGGTAAAAAGGTGAGTACACTCCTTAGAGCTCTCTCTCTCTCTAAGACGTGCTCTTACCAACGGACTGGAAGATAAAAATTTGCCATAACTTTGCTCAGAGAAAATAAAATGAGAAGCCTCGTTTAAGATCACTGAAACTTTAGATTTATTGTGATATTGGTAATACCAACACTGGAGGGAAGGGGAAAACAAGCTAAAACACTCACGAAATAACAAATTTTTAGGGGATTGTAAATACCCTATTTCCTTGAATAAGCTCCCATAATGCACGCTTGTATAAGTGCTCTCCCTCGAAAAAGCGCCCCTCAGTCATAATTTCAAATATGCCCCCTCCCCCTTGAATAACTGCCCTCCTCCTCCCTCACATTCGTAAATGGTAGGGATACGTGGAAAACCTGTTTCTATTACCATTTAATCATAGCTTTCTAAGCTTCAATCGGAATCCGTATACAATGATAGTTTCTTTTCAGTTCAGGATATTTCCATCTCCATGTGTTTGTAGAATTCTTTTGAGTGTGTTATCTCTTTTTTTATCATTATCATTATAATTTTTGTTCTATTGCTGCGCTATAAGCTATAAGCACCCTCTAACTTCAGACCCCGCTCCAGCTATACGCTCATGCAAAGTGTCCCACCGTGCACCCCACCCCTTGTGGTGAAACGACAGTTTTCCCGGTGGTTCTATAAATTTATTTAGCCGATCCAAAATACGGACACTGTCTGAGAAAGGTTGGACAGACAGAAAAGTTCTGAAAATTAACTATCCACAGGGAAGGCAACCGAATTATAATAAAAGCTGAAGAATAAGTAACTCTCACCATTTTCATCGACGTCTTCGTAATCATAACCGAACTCGAAAGACTTTTTGAACATCTGTCGGTGACTGTAAACCGGAAACAGCGGCACAATGACGTCATCTTTGTTGTGACCAAGGGGTGCATCGTAAGTGGAAAGAACACTCGCATCCTCGTTGAACTTCCGCAACCATTTTTCATAAATACGATCCACAAAAGCGTGATGAAGAGGAAAAATCGGGTCGTTTGATGCCGAAGGTACATCCCCCATTTCTCCTCCAACTACTATGTGGACCCGGTTGTGCAAGCCGTGGATGTTAGGAAAGCGATAGCCAGTTTCGGTGCTGGCATAACCCTCTAGGATATTTTTAAAGTTGCAGCTAGACTCTTTACTATAAGGTGGGAGGTCAAAGGTGTCAAATCGTAGCGCAAAGTTGACATCTTTTTTTGTTGGAAATGTCATATCGTATCCCTGGTTCTTCTTTTTGGCCTCCTTCTCGTTATCTGTGCCCCTTTGCAATTTAGATCTTCTTTTGGTAGGGTCACATGGCTCTGTTAGAGCGTAGGTTTGTTCGTCGGTACAAAGAACGTACCACTCATCCAAGTACTTGCCCATCACGATGCCATTACTTTGGTTCGTTACGCCAAGGAGCTCTTCAGAGCAAATGGCGGGGTCGCATTGAGTAATATTCCCAGTCCAGTCCCAGAAAGGGAGGGCAAATTCTTCATCATTTCCAATTTCCTGCAAGGTTCTCTCCCATGCCAGCAAGTACAACCGGTGCCATGAGGGAAACCCCTGACCATCGTGTGCGAAATCAATATCAGCTTTGGTGATATTATGAGGTAAAATGGTGTTTCTTGCAGCATAATAATGCATCCACGTGAACAGGTCATAACTGGTGACATTGTAGAAGAAGCCCTTTGGGTCGCCACCCTTCATAACGGTTTCGTTTATCTCTGCGTAAGGAGTAGACGTAACCACGTAGTCACTTTCATAGTACTTGGACATGTTGACGTATCTCATGTAGCGATCTTTCTCCTCGAGTGACAGGTTCAGAAAATTTCTTCGGATCAAATTTTTCTGAGTGCAGTTGCTGCCATCACGATAGTAACCAAACGCGCATTTGCTGCAATCGTAACCTGCATAGTTTTTGTTGCATTTGCAGACTTTGTGGTAAAGAGCATGCGGCCAGTCGTGTCTCTCGTCATCGTTTTGGAAAGGTTGGTAATGACTGTACTTGAATGTCCAATCACGAATGACCAGTTCCTGGCACTTGCCTCTGTCTCCATCGCAACCGCATTTTGTAGTGAAGCCTTTCGGGATTGGGCAACATTCCTTCCTTCTCAGACTGTCCAAGTTAGTGCAGACTCTGGGAAACTGGCCGTCGACCCAGGGTAAAGTGACGACAACAAAGACAAGGTAGGCGATGATGGGGTGAGCCATTTTGTGATTCCCTGGGAGATAAAATGTAGGTCATGTTGATCTGTCCTCAGAGTTTAAACGTTCAAAAGTTTCTACAAACAGAAATATCTCTGCCTAAATTTTAATGGTACTACTACTTTTTAGGGCTACAAGACGCTACAAATGATT